GAAGGTGCAGGGCTAATTTGTGGCATGCCTGCCAAAAGGATTACCCTGCTCCGCCACTGATGTAATGATTTAATACCAAGCAAGGGAGAATGTGAGGTAAGGGGAGTATGATTATTCCTCAGATATTTGAAGAGTATATATGCTGAGGTGGGAGAGGAATTTTTTAGAGCAATTCAAGGAAATGTAACAAGAAGAGAGGCAAATAAGGAAGAAAAGATATCCTAACAGTGAGGTCATAAGTAAGTTCTGGTAAGTTTCCCAAAGGAAGTGGTGGAAGTCCGGCACTTAAATCAGTGACAACTAGACAGAACAAAACACTCAATGTTGCTCTGGAGGGAACAAAGGCAGAGACAGAATGATCTGAAGTGTTGACTTCTGAGTTTCTACAATTTTTTTAATTTATGAGCCTGACTTGCCACTAAGAGCTAACGCTGATTAGCCTATTTCTCAATGATGGTCATTTCACTGCATATAGAGTCCAGTAAACGTCTTGCTCTCAGCATTGCACTGTTCTGCATGCCCAGCTGGCTGTGGTTCATGTTAGTTCACAGTACTAAAATAACTTTGTGCTCCATGTTAAGAGTTGATCATTGGGAGCACGTGTGACCCCTGTCATCATGACAGAAAAGGGGATTGAACCACTGATTTCCATAGCTCATGCATGAGTTTCTACAGTTTGAGCAAAAGAAAGAGGCTGTCTAGAATTAGCCACAGAACAGGACATAGGATGCATATCCAATCCAATTGGATGCAGCAGGTGACACAAGAGAAAAACAGAATAATCTCCTATGTAGTTGAGCATAGAGCCTACAACTTCCTTGGCCTTAAGATACAGGTGAGGATCCAGCCCTACTCTGAATAGCTAAAAATGTAAAAAACAGGAAATCAGTGAAGAGGGAATGAAAAGAATGCAGCATATTTGCAGAAAGCTAGCAGAAACACATGTGTGCACACAAACTATTGTACCTTGGCTTATTTTTGTTGCTTAGGGTCTTCGTACTCACAGATTGACTCTATTATTTTGCACTCAATCTCTTACACCAGAAATGGGTATTAGAAGAGATGAGAATGATCATATCACTATTAGCAGGGTAGTAACCTGGAACATAAAATAGGAGATGTTTGGTATAGATTCCCACAAATTGGCCTATCTAATTGCAGATTAGGTGGTATGGAAAACATCTCTCAAATTTGGCAGAAAATAGATCTTGGAGACTGGCTATCTTATACAAAAAAATAAAGGTTATTTGTAGTGTTAAAGCCTACTTTAATCATTGGACTACTATTACTTTAAACAGCAAATGTGTGTTGTTAATGTGGTGCAATAAACCCAGTTCCATTAGTAAAACTCAGCACCTTGTTTTATTTAATTGTTTTAACTCCGGTGCATTGGTAAGGTACACCTTTTAAAATACTATTCCTGCTTGTTCTTACAGAAGTGTATGTGTGTGGCTGTAATATGTGCAGCTTTTAAACCTTTCTTTTCAAAATGTGCAATATTTATAACCACGTTCCATTGCCTGAATATCTGCTTTATTGTCACAATGAATTAAATACGAGCAGTTCCAAAGTCTGTAAGACAGTGGACCCACAATGGAGGCCAAATCAATATTTAGACAGCTTCAGGCTACTGAGATTCTGCTAATCTTAACACTTGTCAGCAAGCTTTGCATGCATTTATTATCAAAGTTATTGTTTATGTAGTTTAAATCATTGGCTCTGATTTGAACCACTTCAGAGACTCCTCCCTGAGGGCATCTATTAGAGCTGACAACATGCTCATTCTGGTACTTTAAAAGTAACTCTTCGTTTCCATGTGTGTTTATAAATTAATATAATGAAGCTGTTAGAAATGTTGCAACTGTGGAAGACCCAAACTAATTCATGATGCAGTCTGACAGTTATTCTCATCTCTCCATCATTTAGGCTTTCTCCCCTACCCACCTCCCGCCCTCCCAGCACACACTCTTAAAGATCTGTATCCCATAGTTCCTTCTTTGTGTGGCAGGAGCTCCGTTTCTAATATTCAGCACAAAACAAATGTTACAGATGTCCTAAATGCTTTCTTTGTTAGCATCTTGATTTATTGGGACTGAAGGACTGAGTCAGCTTGGGAGATAGCTTTACTCCGGAACGTTATGAGTCATTATGAGGTTCTTGAGAATGCCTGAACTGTAGTAAATGGGATACAGGTGAAAGCAGAGCAGAACAGCAGTGTTCAACTTGTTTTGCAGTCATTCCCCCTAGTGGTCTGCTTGAGTAATGACCACAAGGACTTTTTTGCCGAGTCTCAAGACTTCTTTTAATCACTGCCCTTAGACATACGGTGTTCGCTAGCTTTTATAGAATGTGCAGTGATACCTGAGCCAACACATTGAAGATGTTAAGAAAAAAATGACCCGTGAATAAGACATTTTACATTTCCACTTGCTGCAGCTAATCAGAGTGGGCAGAGCTAAAATGTAGGTATGCCTTCAGGGAAATCTTAATTTAAGCATGTGGACACAAATACTTTGAGCCCTTTTAGAAGGGGAATATTTCAAAGGGGCAGTAGCTGGTGCATTTGTGTTCCCTCCACCTTTAAAGCTCCTTCTTCCAGGGTTAAACGTGGAGTGCGTTTGCTACATTTGAATCGCGCTCAGTTTGTTCACACCTAACAGAACATATCAGCTGCTGCCCTTTTAAAAAAATCCCTTTTTGGAAGAGCTCCAAACATTTGTGTGTCCACACCCTAACAGAACAACAGAAGATATAACAGCAGCAGAGCAGAGATCATTCTACTATCCACCTGTAAATCTAGGCAATTTAAGTCCAAGAACACATAGCAAAACAGGGCTGTATGGGCTTTTGGAAGGACTTTGTAAGCTACAGGTAGTAGTTATATGCAGAAAACCTATTGAGAGCAATATTTAGAAGCTTTGTCTAAATTTATTCTAAATAATATTTAGAATATTTTCCTTTCTTAAATCTGCAATGTAGGGCTCTTGATTATCTGGTTTAACAAGTGAAAAGTAGCAAATAACAAGGACTTGTTTTTAAATAAATTCTTCTGTAAATATGTGAGGTCTGTACTAAATACTGAAGTGCAAGGTGTGTGGGACACGGTAGCCCTTCATGAATCGTTTATGGTTTTAAAATTCTTGAGTAGGGCTCCCCCAGCTCATGTTCCTATATTTGTGGACCTCACAGAGTCATTGGCTTGTCTGTATATACTTGAATCCAACTGTACAGACCTTCAGAAACTAAATCTGGGGAGTTATGAATGCCAGAACATCTCAGATTAAAATAGGTGCTGTATATCTCACTGGAAAGCTATTTGTCTCTCCATAGCTGTGTCTACACAGCAGTCTGAGGTGTGGTTGCAGCACATATGGGCATACCTGAGCAAGCTTCAGTCTAGCCAAGGCAGGTACCAGTAGCAGCAGAGCCGTGGCAAGTAAGTACCCAGGATCCTCGATGGACTGATACAACTTACAGTGAAGTCTGTACTGCCTGGGCTATGTTAAAGCACACTTAGGTATATCAGCACATCACATCACCCAAATGCAGTATAGGCGTAATCTAAGCATGCCCCCAACACCCATAATAGCTTAGCAGCTTCCAGCCTTCAACTCCTTCTAAACCCATAGTGAGCTAGGAAACTGCTCTCCTCACTTTAATGATGGAGGTGCACAGAGGCTATGTGACTTGCATGTGGTCACATAGGGCGTCTTTAGTGCATCAGGGAATTTGAACCCAGGCCTCCAGCATAGTTCTTGAAGGACTGGATCACCCTTCCTGTTCAGAAACCTTGTGTCTTGATGATGAACCACATCTGTGGGAGTTGGCTTACAGGGTAGTTTTAACACAAGTCTGCAGTTATGACCAACAAAGCTGTAAGTTGTTTTGGAATGCTCAGGACTTACCCGATATTAAACTTATTGCTGCTCCAAGACATGAATAGTGCTTGTACTTCAGAGCCATTTGCATTAGAAAAATATTAAATTAAAATCTATGGCAACAGACATTAGTGGGATGAATACAAGCAATACAGTTGAAAGTGCCTGAATAACCATATTTGTCACATGGCTCTGCAGTTTATCAGACAGCTCTGTGTATGGGTATCATCACAGTATATCTAAGGGAGAGGATGTATGTGTCTGCACCAGTTTGGGGTGTATATTACATATGCATTATAGTTTATGCACATGTGCATATCTGTCAGGGTACAAATGTATAATGTGAAGCACCCACAATTCTGGTCATTGTTAATTTTTTCCCTAAAGAAAAGTGATATGAAATTGTGTGCTGTCATGGGCTCCAGTATGTTTTGTAGCAGCTAAAATGTGGATACCCATCTCTTTCCTATATGCTACACTTCATACACACTAAAACCAGAAACAATGGAATTTCTCAAGTGGAAGAGAGCCAGCGGGCAGCACAAATCCACTGTCTGGTAAATAGCAACTTGGTGATTGTTGACTAGCATCGATTCTGAAGACACAAGTCAGCTTGGTTGGCTAGCTAATGAGGGGGAAAGATTTCATATTTGTTTAATATTAAAACAGAAATGTTTTTCTCCCAGAACACTGCTCAGATTTAAGTGCAACTCCTTTATACTCCAAAAAGCCATTCTGCACCAGGGTTAGAAGAATCAATCTTTCATTTGTATCCTGTTGGTAATTACAGTGCATCGCATGGAAGCCCATGTGCCCATTGAAAAGTTAATAACACACATGTTAATATATATTTACTCCTCTTATTAGCAAAAGCACCTGGTTCATAGCTTTTTAGTCATTCAATCTAAAGAATGTTTTTGCATAACTTTTAATGTGATTTTGAAACAGCATTAATTATTGGAGGTAGCCTCATTGCTGACCTGATAAAAGATTAACTGGTACTTTACAGTATTTGTTTCTGGACATTAGAGCTGTCAGATTATCTAACTACACTTGAAGGACTTTGGACAATAGCTGTGCTGATGGTAATGCTAGCAATTTCCCTGTTTTTTTTTTTTGCAGGTCACTGCCAGGGGATTTGGTCCATTGTTACAGTTTGCCTACACTGCTAAGCTGTTACTCAGCAGAGAAAACATCCAAGAGGTCATCCACTGTGCTGAATTCTTGCGCATGCACAACTTGGAGGATTCCTGCTTCAGCTTTCTTCAGACACAGCTGCTGAACAATGAAGATGGCCTCTTCTTGTGCAAAAAGGATACCGCCTGTCAGCGAATGCATGATGAAGAGAACTCAGATGGGGAAGAGGAGGAAACTATGGAATCAGAGACTTCAAAGATATCTTGCCCAAGGGAGAGGATGCAGCAGGAGCCCTTTAACTTTGAATCCACTGGTTCTGGAGCAGACAAAGAAGAAGGCATGTTGCCTGACTCGGACATACTGAGAGATAGCAAAGACAGTTTGGACAAAGATGCAGTAACACGGTACCCCAGATATAAGAAATACCAGCTTGCTTGTACCAAGAATGTCTACAACACATCACACATCAGTACCTCAGGTTTTGCAAGCACATTTGGTAATGAGAGCTCTGGTAATGGCCTCAAATCAGGACTTGCTGTGGGGCAGATTAAAAGTGAACCTTCGAATGAGGAAAATGATGAAGAAAGCATCACACTTTGCCTGTCTGGAGATGAACCTGACATCAGGGATAAAGAGGGGGATGTTGAAATGGATAGGAAACAGCCAAGTCCTACTTGTGTTGACAGGTCTAAAAGTGGGTCCTCTCCTTCCTGCTTAAGGTCTTTCTTCAACAGAACAAAAAATGTAGATTTGGTTGGCTTCCCAAGTACTTCCCAACAGCACTTTGCCAGGAGTCCAGCATGCCCTTTTGAAAAGGGGACAACTCAGGGTGACCACAAAACTGACTACAGCCCTTTCACAGGGAATTATGGACAGTCCCATGCCGTTCAAAAGGATGCTTCCAACTTCCCCGGAGGATCGCCTCTCAGGGGGCCTGGTTTTGAAGCTCTTTGTAAGCAGGAAGGTGAACTGGACAGGAGGAGCGTTATATTCTCTTCAAATGCTTGTGACCAAGTAAACACTTCGGTGCATTCATATTCTGGTGTGAGCAGCCTGGAGAAAGACCTCGCTGAGACTTTGCCAAAAGGTCTGTGGGCTGGAGGCAGCCAATCCCTTCCTAGTTCACAGACCTATTCCCACAGTGGACTGACAGCTGATCACTTGCCGGGAAGGATGCGGCCTAACACCAGCTGCCCAGTGCCAATTAAAGTTTGCCCTCGCTCTCCTCCTTTGGAAACCAGAACCAGGACCTCCAGCTCATGCTCCTCCTACTCATATGCAGAGGATGGCAGTGGTGGTTCTCCTTGTAGCCTCCCTCTGTGTGAGTTTTCATCTTCCCCCTGTTCTCAAGGAGCTCGATTCCTGGCCCCTGAGCATCAGGAGCCAGGCATGATGGGAGATGGAATGTACAACCAAGTCAGACCCCAGATTAAATGTGAGCCATCCTATGGAACAAACTCCAGTGATGAGTCTGGGTCGTTCTCAGAAGCAGACAGTGAATCATGTCCTGTGCAAGACAGAGGGCATGAGGTAGGGATTTAAGATAAGTACACATGTAACAGTCATTGTGACCCAATTAATCACTCCTTTATTCTTTCAAACAACTTTGGCATTTTCCCAGCAATTTCTTGTTGACAGAGGCAAAGGGTAATTTGTATTTATCTTCTTGTTACCTGAGTGTGCATGGTTAAGTTAACAGAGGAGAGATCATAAACAGCTATTTGACCTCCAGGATGCTTGGCACTAATGACATTTTATTGTTAAAGCAATAGCAACAAGAGTAAATTTATGGTCATAGAAGTGTTGTCAGCTACTCTCTAATCTTCCCAGTATTTCCTTCTTGTTCCTTACCTATATTGAGGGTGGGGGAGAAGTAGAACCAGCCTCTTCAAGGAATTAAAACAAATGTTTTCACCCAGAATACCATCATGTTGCCTGCAGCTTGGTCTACATATCAATACATATCAATGGTAGTATCACAGGTCCTGTTGAGATGGTAGCCTCATTGTGTTTGGCACTGTGCTGTCTAAACCATGAGAGAGTTCTTGTCGCAATTTGCTTACAGTCTGAATAGAGGAGACAGACAAAGGGTGGGAGGAGAAGAAGAGGCAGAGGTGAAATGACTTGCGTCTGTTCATGGGTCAGAGCCAGGAAATCTAGGTCTTCTTTCCAGTCTAATGCCTCATTCAATAGACCATGCAGCCTCCCTTTGTATCTTCTTGTCATGTAGCCAGTGGACTTTGTCTCATTACTAACTGATACCAGGATTATATTTCCCAACTATGGGTTCTTCTTTCCTCCTTCCTAGAGAGTCCTTGCAGATAGCTGCATAAAAAGTTTCCAGGATTGTTATCCTTGTATTTACAGGAGCTGTTAATGGAACCAGAGAGAGGGAATGAGACTTTCTATGCAGCACTGAGAGAGAAATGGGGTCAGCTTAAGAAAAAACAATCCCCCCCCCCCCCCCAAAAAAAAAAAAAAACCAACAAAAAAACAAGGCTATGTATAAATGCTATAGTGGGGTACCTGAGTAACCAAGAGCTCGTCCACAAGCCAAGGAGAATGTTGCGTGACTCACGTAGGTGTACTACATAGCCGGAGCTGAGGAGAGATGCATGTCTTTATGGATCTCCAGCAAGTAATTGAGAGTTCGCTTCTGTGTGGTACTGGATACCTGCTGCCCTCTTAAAATGTTTCATTAAAAGCTGCTGCAGTGGAGAGTAGGTAGATCTGCTCTCCGGGTTACTGTCTATGATAGTCTGGAGTAGAGTAGACCAGGGTCAAGCCAACAGGTGTGAAATGAAGAAACAAGGGGGAAGAGATGTGTGCAGCTCTGTTGTTTACTTTGTTTTATGTGAAGAGTAACTTTGATTTTGAGAAAATTAGCTAATTACTGATGCTATTGCTGCCTGGTTCTGTGGTGTGGAAGGATACTCTTAACACAAAAAGAAATCATTGTCATATTTTTTTATGTTTATCGTAAGGAAGGAATAGGATGCAGGTATGGAGCCTCAGAAGATGTTGTACCTTGGGGTCTCAACCCCTACCATATTCCACTGACAGCAAAGTCATTTCAGAAGGGTTCTTTACTTTCCACTGTACATTTAGCCAATGTAAGTGTGGAGACTGCTCCTTTCCCTGTAGGGGAATCTAAAGCACTCTGTTTAGGACTTCCTGGACCTGCTTTGTCCAAGATTCCGGATCCAGGAAGTCTTAAAGTAGCCACAAAGGAATAAAAGAGTCCTTATTCCTCTTCATGGCCCTTTCGCAACTAGTGACCATCCTTGTAATCAGGGGCAGAGGTCCCATTTGCAAGGATGAGACTGCAAGCAGTGGGTTGAAGAGACAAAAAGGAGTGAATGGTTAAAATGATAGTTGCTTAGTGAGAACTGATGCACAGCATGGCATAGTAAAGAGGGTGGGAGGTTGGATTTTTAAGTGACTAATGCAATGTTTTAATTAGCTAATTGTGTGGGGTCTGAAGCAGCTGAATGAGGAGGCTGGGGGCCTTTGCGGACTTCTGGAGAAAACTGTTAAGTTATATTGATGAAAACTGTTAGTAAGAAGTAGTGGGTGTCAGTTGTGTTGATCTTCTCTGAACACAGATAAACAATCCAAGGCAACAAGAAACCATATTGCATGGGCACAAAGTACTAGTTCAGATTTTTGTTTGAGAAGGATTTTGGGAAGGCTGTTGCAGTAGAACAGCTGATGGAAATGCAGCATAGTCTCATTAGGAAGTGCCCTGTCATATAGATATTATACAGTGTGTTGGGATGTCTATGTCCCTGGAAGTTATAGTGTGAAAAAGGTGAAGTGACAAATGTGCCAAACCAGAAAACAAACTATTCAGTGGAGAGAAATGATTTCTTTTGAATCGCTCCATATAGTTTAGCAAATTGGCTATTAGATAAGTGGGCAGCACATGTACTACCTTGAAAAATTCACCCCCTTCCAAAAGCTCCATCTTCTAAAACCTTTAACTGGGGGCTTTTTCCAACCCTGAAGCTGTCCCTTTTGGCTATCTGGATCACTTTGTATTCTGGTCCTTGACCCAGTGTCTGCTTATTATAAAATTAATCTATTTATGGTTTACGTTTTTAAAAAATGTAACTGATAAAATAATTGAATGAATATGACTAATTACTGCTAAGTGAAGAGCTGTGTTCTGCAATCAGATGCACGCTACTGACATTACTTCAGTACAGTTGATGCTTGTTCGTGACAATATATCCATGACTGGGTGCTGTGTTGTTCCTAAACAACTATTGCTGTTCTAAAAAGTGTCATCTGAATACATGGCAGGGAAATGTATCCAAAGAAAATGTTTCTGGTAGGTGATTATTGTTCTTATTGTGCAATTCTGGGCACCGCACTTCAAGAGGGATGCAGATAACCTGGAGAGGGTCCAGAGAAGGGCCACTCGTATGGTTAAGGGCCTGCAGACCAAGCCCTACGAGGAGAGACTAGAGAACCCGGACCTTTTCAGCCTCCGCAAGAGAAGGTTGAGGGTCGACCTTGTGGCTGCCTATAAGTTCATCACGGGGGCACAGAAGGGAATTGGTGAGTATTTATTCACCAAGGTGCCCCCGGGGGTTACAAGAAATAATGGCCACAAGCTAGCAGAGAGCAGATTTAGACTGGACATTAGGAAGAACTTCTTCACAGTTAGAGTGGCCAGGGTCTGGAACGGGCTCCCGAGGGAGGTGGTGCTCTACCCTACCCTGGGGGTCTTCAAGAGGAGGTTGGATATGCATCTAGCTGAGGTCATCTAGACCCAGTACTCTTTCCTGCCTATGCAGGGTGTCAGACTCAATGATCTATTGAGGTCCCTTCCGACCCTAACATCTATGAATCTATTAACTGGTGTTGTTGCAAATAGGCATCAACTGTAGCCCCATTGACTGAAATCAATAACTGTGTTGATTTCATCGAGACAGTCTGGTGTGAAAAAGGCTGACAGACTCTGACCCTCACTTATCAGATGCAGTTCATAAGGTCTCTTGGAGTTTGGACCTGGTTGTTCTTGATTTGGATCCCAGAGTGTTATCAGTGCTCAGAATTAATGTCACAAAAATGCCTTTTCCTGGGATAGTGACCATGTGTGAAACGTGTCAAAGGTTTTTTCTCCTTTTGGGCTTCTAGGAACTTTGCTGTCTTAGGGAATGGGTGCTAGGCAGAAGCATACATACTCCCAACTGATTTATTTAGGGCCCCTCTACATATGCAGGTAAAGGTGCAATGGGATCTAATGCACCATCCACACAATTGCTCATCCTGCCATTCCATGTGCATGGCAAGAGGTGCGACTGTAGGATCACAAATCAGATCCCATCGTGCCTTATTGCCAGTGCAGGAGGAACCCAATCCTGGGCTCCCCCTGTACTAGCAAGAAGCAGGCTCCTATGGCTCAGAGCCCCTTCAGCTGATGGGGCTCCCAGCTGTAGGAGCACCTCCCATATCCCTGTGGCTGGGGGTAGGGACAGACATTTAAAAAGCCTAAGCTTGAATTGATTCAATTTTTGCAGGTTAGTCTAACCTGCAAAACTTGAACTGGTCTGGAGGTGGATAGACATTCCCTTTTCATTCCAGAAATGCAGACACATGCCTGCAGTGGCTCAAGCTAGAAGCCAGGGGAGCTCTAGAGCAGCCCTCCCTTCACTTTACAGTGCTCAGCTAAACTCTGATTAGCTGACAGGGCTCCCAGCCACAGGGGCCCCTGGCCACACATTCAGTTAATGGTGTGATAGGAAACCATTATGAATACAAATTTATTCATATTTTGTAGAATAAATTTGTAGCTTATTCCTTTTCATCACACCATTAATTGATTGAACATGTGGCGGGGTGACCATTTAAGGCATGATTAACTGGTTAATCATGCCTTAAATGTAATGTATAGATGGGGCCTTAGAAAATGATACTGAGTATAAAGATATTTTGAATTCTGTTCCCCTTTGCCTTTGTATTCTATTCCCTGTGACCCTTTGAAAGTGCCTGGCGTTGCTGAGATTTTTCTTGTCAGATCTCTCCAAACAATAAAAGAACAGGTGCAAGCTAGACCTCCCCCATGTGTTGCAAGTACAGGAGGAAATAGTGAGGAGCTGTTGAGATTTTAGACAATTGACTGACAAAGTGGCTAATTCCATGCAAATCCTTCTCTTGGCACTTTCCTCTCCATCCCTCAAAGAACAGTTAAGGTCAATAACTGGAGTTTAATACCACTGACAAGAATACATGTATTTTCAGTTTGCAACCAATTTCTAACCATCTTGCTCAAAATAGCAACAATAAAAATAAGAGTGGAAATAATAAATCCTTCAGAAGGAAGTGCATGTTGATCTGTAAACTTTCCAAGCTATGAATTTGTTCTCTTTGGTGATACCTTGCTTTTCTAAAATTCTTTTCCCAAATATTGTTTTGCTGCTGTAAAACAATTAGAATGTAACCTTTAAACATTGCTCTATTATGGCAAACTGGATATGTTAAAAAACAAGACAAAACAAAACAACCCATCCCCCCACCCCCCC